AGTCAGTGCTCGCTCTCGCGCTCGCTCGCTCTCTCTCATGGCGTAGCCTACCTCCCCTGAACCAGATTAGGCACGCGACCTCCCCCTCCCCCGCTCCCCTGGGGATGCCCCAATGGAGCTGGTCGGGGCCGCAACCCCTTCCGGTCGTTTCCAGCTTTGCTCAGAGCCGCTCCGGGCCGAGCGCGCCTGTATGGGGACGGGGGCAGGCCACCCCTGCAGGACGCGTGGGATGCGGGCAGCCTACATCGCCGTCTGCAGGGGATAGGACGCCTTCCCGCTCCCCATGGATCAACGACAGCGGCGACCTGAGCAACAAAAGCACTCAGAGCCATGACCTGGCCAGGGCCTCGCCGGCGGCCAGGTAGGGCAGCCACCGCAACGCAAGCCATAGCGGCCGCCGGGTCGTTTAGGTATCGCCAAATTGTCGCGCCAACGACCGCGATGGTAATCAGCCACCAACACGCACGCTACGCAGCCCCCGTGCGGGCCGGCGGGCCGGCGGGTGCGGAGCGGGGCCTTGGTGGCGGCCGGGTCAGGTGAGAAGGGATGGAGTGCCTAGGTGCGCACCGGGTCATTCATGCAGGGGATAGCCACCGCGGTAGGGGGCGCGGCGGGGCAGGGCGGGGCGCGGCGGCCCACGGGGCGCAGCGAGACGGGCCAGCGCGGGCGCGGCGGGGCGAGGCGGCTGAGGCGGGGCGCGGCGGGCGGGTGAGGAGGGATCGATATCCGGTAGAAGGGGATGCATGGTGGCGGGGGTGGCGTCGCGAGGTGGGGTGGGGCGCGGTGGGGAGGGGAGAGAGGACGGCCCACAGCCGGCCTATAGCCTGCCATCCCGATGGGCCTTTCCGAGTAACACTCGCCACTGTAAGACGAAAATAGTCCAGTCCAGCGCGCTGAAGGGCTGAAGGGCCTTAAGGGGCGGGGGCGGGCCGAGGCCGGGAGGGAGGAGAGTGGAGAGGAAGAGCAGTAGGGGAGGAGAGGCGAGGCGATCGTAGCGGGCCGTAAATGGGGTGACGTCACGGGTTATTTTGGGAACGAGATTATTTGTAATTTTAGCGACCCGCCCTGCCGGCCCTCCCGAGGACGACACGCGGCAGTGATGTAGCAGGTCCATAGACCACTGAATCGCGCCGCCGGCACAGCCCCATCAATGGAAATGCAAATGAATGGGGACTGCAAAACAAAACCAATTCCATAGTTTGGTTTTGTTAACGAAACCTAAACTATGTCTGTCCGACTTTGTTTTATTGTTGGCGAGGAACCCATTTTCTACTCGGGCCCACAGTTCGCCGACTTCCTAAAGACTAACATGTGATTATTTTGTCGTTGTTCCAGGTTTAGTGAAACTGGGCGTGCAATGTGTGAGCGGAAAGAAGGTCGCCATCAAAATTATCAACCGAGAGAAACTGAGCGAGTCCGTCCTGATGAAGGCAAGTTGCCCTAGTGCACTTACAATAGTTATTTCTTTATTATGTTTCTTATTATTGATCGCGGCATTACACGCCGGCGGCCTGGAACGACCCTGGAGCGCCGCAGCGCCGCAGCGCCGCGCCTGAGGGCCTCTCTGCCGAGTGGTGTGTAACGAGCTTCTGTGCTTCGCAGGTGGAGAGGGAGATAGCGATAATGAAGCTGGTGGACCACCCCCACGTCCTGGGCCTGTCGGACGTGTACGAGAACAAGAAGTACCTGTGAGTAAATGTCTTGTACGAGAGAGGCAGAGAGCGGGTATCCGCACCCTTCTCTCTCACACTCTCACTCACGCTCTAATAATGTCCCTCCCGTACGACTACGCAAATTTCTTCATGGTTAACTGTGCCACTTGTGTACAGTTAAGGTGGTTCATGCTGACGCCTTTTGCTTCCTCGTCAGGTACCTGGTGCTAGAACACGTGTCGGGCGGCGAGCTCTTCGACTACCTGGTTAAGAAGGGTCGGCTCACCCCGAAGGAGGCGCGCCGGTTCTTCAGGCAGATCATCTCGGCCCTGGACTTCTGCCACAGCCACTCGATATGGTGAGGAGGCGCCCGTAAAGGTATAAGTGCCGGTTTATCCACCATAAATAACTTTTACGACCCGACTTGTATCTGTCGCGCGCAGCCATCGCGACCTGAAGCCCGAGAACCTCCTGCTGGACGAGAAGAACAACATCAAGGTGGCCGACTTCGGGATGGCGTCGCTGCAGCCCGCCGGCAGCATGCTGGAGACCTCCTGCGGCTCGCCGCACTACGCGTGCCCGGAAGTGATCCGGGTGAGTGTCGGCCGGAAGTATCGACCGGAAGTGAACGTGTATGTCCGTGTGTGTAGAGAGCGGGGCGCATCGAGTGTATGTCGCTCATGACCGGCCATGAATCTTTAAGAGCCCCCCACGTGTGTCGCGCTCGGGACACTGTTAGAAATAGTGCGCAGTGCAGTTGGTATAAAACCGAGGGAAAAGAGGGGGGATCTCAAGTTTCTTTTCTACGTCCTTGAGAAGTACAACTTTAAATTACAAATAAAATCCATCCTAGAATATAGAGAAAGGAGCTACTTCCGTTTTTTTCGGGTATTTGTGTTGATTGAGAAACTGTCTATGCGTTTGGTGGGGTTGGTATTGCCACAATTGTCAGAATAAAGTTGAGCGTGTTGCTCTCGCTGTCTCCCCCAGGGCGAGAAGTACGACGGGCGCAAGGCGGACGTGTGGTCGTGCGGGGTGATTCTGTACGCGCTGCTGGTCGGCGCGCTCCCCTTCGACGACGACAACCTCCGGCAGCTCCTCGAGAAGGTCAAGAGGGGTGTGTTCCACATACCGCACTTCGTGCCGCCCGACTGCCAGAACCTGCTCCGGGGGATGATTGAGGTTAACCCAGAGAAGAGGCTAACGGTGAGTGAGTTTGGAAGTACTATAGCCAGTGATAGGCAGTGTGTCATCAGAGACGTTTGCTCAAAAAACCGTCGACTGTTTCAGCTGGCGGACATCAACAGGCACCAGTGGGTGACGGCCGGCGGCAAGGGCGAACTGGAGCTGGAGCTCCCCATGATGGAGGTGGTGCAGACGCACGTTCTGCCCACAGAGGAGGCCATGGACACGGACGTCCTGCAAGCCATTACCTCGCTGGGATGCTTCAAGGACAAAGACAAGCTTGTGCAGAAGCTGCTCAGCTCGGAGTAAGCGCAATTTCTGGGTTTTGTGGAGTGTTGAAAGGGGGGGGGGTGTACATACCCGAGGGGATGAGTCCTGACCTTACAAATGTCTGACGGTGACGTATTGCAGGCACAACACGGAGAAGGTCATCTACTTCCTGCTGCTGGAGCGGAAGCGGCGCCGGCCGGCGCACGAGGACGACACCGACTCGGTGCTGAGGACGCGCCTGGAGACGCCCGACCCGCCCAGGAAGCGGGTGGACGCCTGCAAGGTCAACGGCACGTCGACGTCCTTTGGGAGGATCTCGGAGGGCAGCCCGCTCACGCCGCGGAGGCTCGCATACCAGTGAGTAGGATGGCACGGCCCCTCGGCGAACAATCCGCTCCCGCCCCGTCCCACCCCACCACCTACACCCGCAGCAGCCCTGCGGCACCGCCAGCCGCCGGGCAGACAGAGAGGAACGCTCAGAGTATGATGGATGGGCCACGCCTGCCTGCCATACACTGTCTTCTCTTCCCCGGGTGTAATTTTACATTTCCTAAATTGCCCCTACCCCTCTTCCTCTCTCGTGTGTAAGTGTGGGGAGAAGGGGGAGAAGGGGGGGGGGTAATGGATCGAGCTTACTCAGCCGATCGGCACCGTCACACGATCAGCGCGTTTGTTCACCCGCTTCAGTTACATTTTGCGTTGTGTTTTTTTTCCCCTCTGAATTTTTCCCCTTCCGACAGTAAAGCGCCGCGCCGCGCCCTCCGTCCGTCCCCCTTCCCCCGGCCCGCTTACATGGCTCCATAAAGTTGCGCCGGAGGACAGTGCAGGGCGAGCCGGGAAATAACGGCCCAATCTAAACACCCCCCACCCCCCTCCCTCCCCCTCTTTCAGCGCCCTTGAATCTCGCCGATCAAGCGCTGGCTGGTTTTGTCGTTGGTTTTGTCGTGATCGCTCACGTGACCGCCTGTATTTTTGCAGCCAGCGGCACCACCGGCGGCCCCTCGCGCCCTCCGTGGCCGTCACCAACCAGCAGAACTCGGCGGGCTCGACGAGCGGGCCCAGCGCGGCCCTGGCCGGCATCCTGTCGCCGCTGCCACAGCGAGCCACGCACCACCACCACCACCACCATCACCACCACCATCACCACCACGCGAACAGCACGGCGCGGGCCGGGGCAGGCTCGCCCACCGGCACGCCCAGCGGCCAATCCTCCACGCCGGGCAGCCCCATGGTGCAGCGCGCGCGCGCCGAGAGCGTGGACAGCAGCTCCGAGGCCTCGGGGGGTGAGTATGCCGGCAGGCGCGGGGATGGGGAGGGGGGAGCATGGCGGGGTGGGGCAGCCCCCGGAGGACGCCGACGACGGCGTGCGGATGGGCGCGTGACACAGGACACCACAGACAGACAGGTCGGCGGGTGGCCGGGCGGACATTCACCACTCCGTCTCTACTTGTGTAGCGCGGCCGCACCACCACCACAACAGCGGCGGTGGAGGCGGCTCCGGAGGCGGCGGCGCCGGGGGCGGCTCGTCGGGGGGACACCGGTCGCGGAAAGCGTCCACGTCGAGCGGCGAGGGTTCCAGCAGCTCGGGGGGCGGCGGGGACTCGGTTCTCGGCACGCCCCCGCCCCCTCCGCCCGCCATCGTGCTCCGCAGCGCCCCCGGTACACACAGACTCAGTTTGTTTGGGCGAGCAGAGTGCGGAGGCTGCGAGCCTGGCCTGGCAGAGTTGTTAATTGCAATCTGTGGCATGACGACCCCGCTTGGACGGCTATGATTATATGGCACATATCACCGAGTCCAAGCGCGCTGCAGCTGGCGCCGCTATCTAATAAAGTGCTGCTATGAATGATCAAAGCTCATGCCCAGTCCCAGTTATATGTTATATATGTATTTTTAATTATTTCATTCTTCACAAGTGCACTCTAAAATCACGTAGTGTGTGCAGGTAGTTTACAGAAAATGTTCATAGACAAGAAAAACACCTTCATATCAAGTACTGATCGCAGTTAATTTGTATTTATTCTATTATAGAACATCTAAATATCTTATTTGTTTAAATAATGAACTTCAAACACATTCGGGTATTTGTGTTGATTGAGAAACTGTCTATGCGTTTGGTGGGGTTGGTATTGCCACAATTGTCAGAATAAAGTTGAGCGTGTTGCTCTCGCTGTCTCCCCCAGGGCGAGAAGTACGACGGGCGCAAGGCGGACGTGTGGTCGTGCGGGGTGATTCTGTACGCGCTGCTGGTCGGCGCGCTCCCCTTCGACGACGACAACCTCCGGCAGCTCCTCGAGAAGGTCAAGAGGGGTGTGTTCCACATACCGCACTTCGTGCCGCCCGACTGCCAGAATCTGCTCCGGGGGATGATTGAGGTTAACCCAGAGAAGAGGCTAACGGTGAGTGAGTTTGGAAGTACTATAGCCAGTGATAGGCAGTGTGTCATCAGAGACCGTTTGCTCAAAAACCGTCGACTGTTTCAGCTGGCGGACATCAACAGGCACCAGTGGGTGACGGCCGGCGGCAAGGGCGAACTGGAGCTGGAGCTCCCCATGATGGAGGTGGTGCAGACGCACGTTCTGCCCACAGAGGAGGCCATGGACACGGACGTCCTGCAAGCCATTACCTCGCTGGGATGCTTCAAGGACAAAGACAAGCTTGTGCAGAAGCTGCTCAGCTCGGAGTAAGCGCAATTTCTGGGTTTTGTGGAGTGTTGAAAGGGGGGGGGGTGTACATACCCGAGGGGATGAGTCCTGACCTTACAAATGTCTGACGGTGACGTATTGCAGGCACAACACGGAGAAGGTCATCTACTTCCTGCTGCTGGAGCGGAAGCGGCGCCGGCCGGCGCACGAGGACGACACCGACTCGGTGCTGAGGACGCGCCTGGAGACGCCCGACCCGCCCAGGAAGCGGGTGGACGCCTGCAAGGTCAACGGCACGTCGACGTCCTTTGGGAGGATCTCGGAGGGCAGCCCGCTCACGCCGCGGAGGCTCGCATACCAGTGAGTAGGATGGCACGGCCCCTCGGCGAACAATCCGCTCCCGCCCCGTCCCACCCCACCACCTACACCCGCAGCAGCCCTGCGGCACCGCCAGCCGCCGGGCAGACAGAGAGGAACGCTCAGAGTATGATGGATGGGCCACGCCTGCCTGCCATACACTGTCTTCTCTTCCCCGGGTGTAATTTTACATTTCCTAAATTGCCCCTACCCCTCTTCCTCTCTCGTGTGTAAGTGTGGGGAGAAGGGGGAGAAGGGGGGGGGGTAATGGATCGAGCTTACTCAGCCGATCGGCACCGTCACACGATCAGCGCGTTTGTTCACCCGCTTCAGTTACATTTTGCGTTGTGTTTTTTTTCCCCTCTGAATTTTTCCCCTTCCGACAGTAAAGCGCCGCGCCGCGCCCTCCGTCCGTCCCCCTTCCCCCGGCCCGCTTACATGGCTCCATAAAGTTGCGCCGGAGGACAGTGCAGGGCGAGCCGGGAAATAACGGCCCAATCTAAACACCCCCCACCCCCCTCCCCTCCCCCTCTTTCAGCGCCCTTGAATCTCGCCGATCAAGCGCTGGCTGGTTTTGTCGTTGGTTTTGTCGTGATCGCTCACGTGACCGCCTGTATTTTTGCAGCCAGCGGCACCACCGGCGGCCCCTCGCGCCCTCCGTGGCCGTCACCAACCAGCAGAACTCGGCGGGCTCGACGAGCGGGCCCAGCGCGGCCCTGGCCGGCATCCTGTCGCCGCTGCCACAGCGAGCCACGCACCACCACCACCACCACCATCACCACCACCATCACCACCACGCGAACAGCACGGCGCGGGCCGGGGCAGGCTCGCCCACCGGCACGCCCAGCGGCCAATCCTCCACGCCGGGCAGCCCCATGGTGCAGCGCGCGCGCGCCGAGAGCGTGGACAGCAGCTCCGAGGCCTCGGGGGGTGAGTATGCCGGCAGGCGCGGGGATGGGGAGGGGGGAGCATGGCGGGGTGGGGCAGCCCCCGGAGGACGCCGACGACGGCGTGCGGATGGGCGCGTGACACAGGACACCACAGACAGACAGGTCGGCGGGTGGCCGGGCGGACATTCACCACTCCGTCTCTACTTGTGTAGCGCGGCCGCACCACCACCACAACAGCGGCGGTGGAGGCGGCTCCGGAGGCGGCGGCGCCGGGGGCGGCTCGTCGGGGGGACACCGGTCGCGGAAAGCGTCCACGTCGAGCGGCGAGGGTTCCAGCAGCTCGGGGGGCGGCGGGGACTCGGTTCTCGGCACGCCCCCGCCCCCTCCGCCCGCCATCGTGCTCCGCAGCGCCCCCGGTACACACAGACTCAGTTTGTTTGGGCGAGCAGAGTGCGGAGGCTGCGAGCCTGGCCTGGCAGAGTTGTTAATTGCAATCTGTGGCATGACGACCCCGCTTGGACGGCTATGATTATATGGCACATATCACCGAGTCCAAGCGCGCTGCAGCTGGCGCCGCTATCTAATAAAGTGCTGCTATGAATGATCAAAGCTCATGCCCAGTCCCAGTTATATGTTATATATGTATTTTTAATTATTTCATTCTTCACAAGTGCACTCTAAAATCACGTAGTGTGTGCAGGTAGTTTACAGAAAATGTTCATAGACAAGAAAAACACCTTCATATCAAGTACTGATCGCAGTTAATTTGTATTTATTCTATTATAGAACATCTAAATATCTTATTTGTTTAAATAATGAACTTCAAACACAGTAGCACTACCTTTTGAACACCATGTCGAATAGACTTTCTCTTCACTGGTTTTCGTCGTCTGAGTAGAAACTCACATTTCTTGTTTCGGTCCCACCCGTGCCAGCAGTAGGAGCAGAGCTTTGCGCACAGATACTACTTCAGCAGTCTGCGGCGAGCCGAGGGCGTCGGTAGACTGTTGCATGCGTAGCTCAGCTTAGAGAGCCGCAGCAAAAACATAGATGGCAGGAAGACACCAACCTTTAACAAGTCGCCCGTTGTCCTTTCTGCCCCGCAGGCGGCACCCTGGCAAGCCTGGGGCCCTTCACCCCTCCCGGATCGCCCATCGCGTCAGGAGTGAGCTCGGGCGTGAGCGCCGGCACCCACTGGCGCTCCAGGCTCAACACCCTCAAGAACTCCTTCCTAGGTTCGCCGCGCTTCCACAGGCGGAAGATGCAAGGTGAGTTTACCACGCACGGCCTGCTGTCTGCGCGCGCGCTCCAGGGGCGGGGGGCGCCCGGCGGGGTAGGCCACCGTAGCCAGTTCGGGCACCAGTGCCCGACGGGACTGCCTATCTCCACGGCGCTGAGGCCGCAAGGAGCGCGCGACCCGCGCGCCCGTTAGAGACTAATCCTTTGCTTCGCACAGCGTCCTCCGAGGAGGTGCATCTGACGCCGGAGTCCTCGCCCGAGCTCACCAAGAAGTCGTGGTTCGGCTCGCTGATGGCGACCGAGAGGGACGAGACCTTCACCATCCTGCTAAAGGGGAGGCCGCTGGCCAACGTCAAGGCCGACCTCATCCACGCCTTCCTCTCGGTGAGCAACGACGACAACAGCGGCGGGGGCGGATCCAGTGAGCCAGAGGAGGAAGAGGGGGGAGGAGATTAGAAAACTGCTGCAGCTCGGCGAGGTCCTCGTCGAGGTCTCCTCGGGAGGGTGAGCAGGTGACACGACCCCTGTCGACCCCTGTCCTCCACCCCGCCCTGGATCCAACTCTCCTCGCATCACTTGCGCAGCGGCACCACCGCGACGACGGGCACCCTGCTGACGTTCTCCTCTCCTTGCAGATCGCCGAGCTGAGCCACTCGGTGGTGTCGCCGCTGTCGTTCCGGGTCGAGTACCGGCGGGGCTCGGCCGGCCCGGCCATGTTCCAGAGGCAGGTCCGCTTCCAGGTCGACTTGTCCTCGGTGGCCAAGGACCCTCAGGACCCGCTGTACGCCATCACCTTCACGCTTCTCTCTGGCAACATCCGCCGCTTCCGGCGACTTTGCGAGCTGATCCAGGCGCAGGTGTGCAGCCGGCGGCCGCCGCCCAGCCCGCGCGCCCAGCGCAAGTTCGCACAGGAGCTGAGCGAGTCGTCGTCGTGCGGCTCCGACACCTCGGAGAGACTGTCGCCGCACCCGGGCACCAGACAAGTGAGTACAACACGTGGCGGAAGTGTGCTGCTCTCTCCGACAAGGCCTCGCTGACGACGCCCTTCTGCCCTACAGATGTCGTGGTCCCATGTGGAGTCGGACTTGGAGAGCGACTCGTCTGTCTTTGACGTCAAGAGTCCATCCAGGGACAACGGCAACTCGGTGCTGGCTCGCCGGCGCTCCTCCGCCTCCAACAACAACAATCTGGTGTCCGCCAACGGCTCGTCGACGGCCAACGGCAGTGCCAACGGCCCCAGCAACGGCTCCACGAACACGGCGGACGGCAGCCTGGCCAGCAGCCTGGTGTCTCCTCAGGGTGAGAGACCACCAGGTGAGTTGGGCCAGGACCTGCACCTGCCGTCGACCAGAGTCTGAGCGGGGCTGGGCCAGGGGGCTGTGGGCCAATGGGCCACGGGGCTGGGCCAAGGGGCTGGGCCAAGGGGCTGGGCGGGGCAGGGGCCCTGCTGGGGCTGGCCTGACCAAGGCGCTCGCCGTGCCCACAGGGACGCCGCCCACCCCCGCCAGCGCTAGCGCCAGCGGCTCCGGAGCGGCCACACCGGGGACACCCGGCACCTGCCCTGGGACGCCGTGCACGGCCACCCCCGGCACGCCCGGCGCCACGCCGCCGCCGCCCCGCTCCAGCAGCGAGAGCAGGACCTCCCCGGTGCGCGCGCGCTCAGCGCACTCCTCCGGCTCGGTGGCATGAGCAGCCGACAACCGTCACGCCACTCTTCTTGGGGGTTGCTGACACTTCGACGGCATTTTTATTTTCCCAATTCCTAAGGCGTGTCAGGAGTCCCCAAACAGCAGCAATAGAGAAGCTGCCCGGCGCGGCTCCTGCACGAGGGCGCCTCGGCTGTCCGCTCGTGCTGGGGTTCAACATAGTGAACAACGAGGCCGAAGCAAATAAATTGTGTTCACAGTGAGATTTTTATCTATAAATAATTCTTCTCTTTGAAATGGACGGTTAACCTTTTAGTCGTCGATAAGTACTTTTGCAAATACACAAGAGATATTGCAGGAGCCTGCAAGGCTAGGGCGCGCTACAAGCCAAGTTGTTTTTAGCTCTAGAACCGATTTTGTGATATTTGTAATAACACTGAATTCCGAAATGGTCTTCCTGTATCTATTCTGATCTATTCTACAAAGTGTGTACATATTGTGAGTTCGGGTAGGGGCCGGCCGGGTCTTGACTTGAGGGCTTTAAGGACCCAAGAAGGCCCGGTGACGAAAGAATTTGTGATACTCTATGCAAATCATTGACGGATGTGATGTGGTTTCGGCTTGTTTTGTGTTTGTGTGCGTGGGCCAAAGGCAGTGAATGATGTTATTATCGCTTCAGCTAATTATATTAAATTAAAAGTCATTTGGTGAAGATAAATTTTTATAAGCTAGTCTATTGTTTGTAAAACTGTTGCTTTCTTTCCTCTGTCTTGCAGATGGCAAGATAATAATTCCACTGATGACATATTAGAGGTTTTGGTCTTGAATTGACGCACTGAGTAGGCTATCACCTGTTTGTGTATTTGTGGGTGTGTTACAGAGAGGCTGCAGTCCAAACGCTGTCAAGCCCAGTGCCAAAGTAATGTCTCAGGCCAGAGGTTGGACTTTGTAAGCTAATTTGTTGGACCGTTCGCTGATTGTGTTAATAATGTTGGTATAAGTAAGAGGAGGGAGATGTGTTTGTATTTACGCTTCTATTGTTTATTATGGAAATCCACTGTTGTTCTCAGTTCCTAAGTTCTCATGTTTAAGGGATCTGATTTTTATTTAAAATTGCGTTGGGCATAGTATTTATTGCTTGATATTACTTATACTAGTTATAGGGCAGACTGAGAGCATTCCCTTTTAGTGTTCCGAATTTATTTTTCGCGAGACAAATCAAAGTTTGGGATTGTTTGCGGATCATAAACACGCGCCGCCATCAGGCCTAGCCTCGCCTTCAATAAGCCTTCAAGCGTGTGAAAAGATCTTTTCTGTTCGCCGTCCAAAAAATGAAAACGCACGCTAACCCGCCAGCCTCATGGGCTCCGGACTGGAAGTAGGACCTTGCATCCCAAAACATCGTCAATTCACCAGTATCTTTATAATGTTACCAAATTTATTTTAAATCCAATCGAGCCAGAAAGTATATTTTTACGAGATGACGCGGAACGCTTCGTTCAGAAGTAACTAGTCAAAAATGTAGGTGAAAGTAACTTGAGAGCCCAGCTCGCCTCGCAACTCGATGTAGGAGCAGGGGCCGCCCCCACCAAAGGAGCTGACACTTGGCACCTCGGGAACAGCGAGCTTCGTACCTTAGTTTAAAACCCCTCCACAAAAGAGCAAATATTGCTTCACAATTCTGCTTTTTTTATATCGAAACTGCGTGCAAACTAGTTTGTCTTTAATGGAGAAGAAGGGCTTCCGGCTCGGCTTCCGGCCGCCATTTTTATTTTGACTCTTTAGGCGTAGGGATATGTTGATATCTCGAATCTCGAATCCATCCACCGACTTACGTGCCTGGCCCACCATACGGAGTTGGCTGCGCCAGCCGCGTGCGGCCCACCGCCGCTGCGCCTGCCCCGCAAGTGTGATATCTATAGAGGAACTGAGGTGATCACTCGTCGCAGCGCTTGCGAGTGACGGAAAATGGTATTTATATACGAGTATTATCGTGTGTGTGGATCTTTCCTTTGTCTTTTACTATTTGTCCAAGATTGGCACTCCCGTTTTGTTACGACATTAAATTGAAACACTGTCTTTGTATATACTATGGTGCCGGTATATAAATGCTACTTTGCTTGTGCAATAAAGTCTAGCCCACCAATCGATCATATGCTTTTATTTTTATTACTTTGCTAGCGTCACATTCCGTGATGCTGCTTTGCGCGCTGCTGTTTGAAAGAACGCGCTCAAGCCGAGCCACCGCCCCGCAGTGGTGTCGGGAAGTCCACTCGACTTTTCTTCGTCGATATCACGGTATCCTCCAGTACGGCGGTGAAGAGCGACCTCTTACCCTGTTCGTCTCTGCGCGAAACTGACGAACAGCCACGCCGGTTGTGGACAAAGCCCGAGACAAAAGCGCGCGGGCGCGGGAGGGATACCGCGTGCCCAGAGGTTGGCAGCGCCGGCCCGCGCCGCCGCCCGCCGGTTCTCCGCCGCGCCGACAGATGGCGCCCGCTTGGGCTCCGCGCGCAGCACAGCGCCCGCGTGGCACGGCTGCACGGCGCGCGGCGCACGCTGCACGGCGGGCACAACGCGCCGCGCGAGGGGAGGGGAGGGTTCAGGTAGTTCAGGTGACCGCGGTGCGGCACGCGGTGCACGCGGCGAGACCCACACGGCGGCGTGGCGGGGCGCGGCCGGAGGGGAGGGGGGAGGGCGGGAGGCGGAGGAGGCAGGGTGAGAGCGGCCCGGAGCGGAGTCCAGCGTGCTGGAGAGCACGACACGGCCTGCGGAGCGGAGCGGCAACCTTGGAGTGTCCGATGCACCTCCCCTCTCTCTCCTCCCCTGACCCTCCCCTCCTCGCAACACTGGTGCTGGCTGCCAGGCCCATACCAAGGCAGCCAGCCCTTCTCGGCGTGGCGCAGCGTGGCGCGCGCCGCGACTGCATCTCTCAGGTCCTGGTCCAGCCAGAGCTGCCTGCAGGCCGGACCGGAGCCAGGCCGGAGCCTCCAGGAGCGAAATAAATTGATTCATCCCCAACAGGACCCTCCAAGCCGGCTGGAGATGGGAATCTCACGCCTCCCAGCTCAGCAGCCCTGCTCCTGCTGGATGCCGCAGGTCCGCTGCGACGCAATGGTTCTAATAGAGAGGTGTTACGAACACGCCACTAAAGGAAAGCTGGACTTTTCTCGTCAATTCGCACGAGGAACTGTTTGGCGACTCGCCGGCGCCCGCCTTTGTCTCGGCTTTGGAGCAGGCCGCGAGCGCTCTGCAGCACCAGCTCCAGCAGGTCGAGTCGAGGTCGAGAGCGGCGCTCCGTGGCTGGCGTGGCGTGGCCAGGATCCCTCGGAAGTTTAGTGGGCGCGGGCGGTGGACGCGGAACAGCGCAGGTGACGCAATAGGGCGGCGACGGCTGTGGCACAAGCGGGTAAAAGCTCCCGGCTGCGCCCATAGCCCCGGTCCAGCATGGCAAGGTGCGAACAATCGATTCGATAGTCATAACGAACAGTGAAAGAGTTGGAGCACGGCAGGCTCAGACGTACGTCAACCTGGTCCACGGCGGGGTGCTCGCCGTCGTTGCGACAAACGACGACCACACGCGAAGGCTGATTCACGCCGCGCTCTTTCGTTGCTGCACACTGTACCGCACACACGCCTGCGGGCGGGTTGCCTATCGTTGGAGGCCAACTGCTCTGTACGGCCCCGCACGGGCAGGCAAACCGTTTGTTTGCGTGCATGCGGTACAGTATTGTGACGAAAGTGCGCGTGAATCGGCCAACAGGTGCATAGCGGGGTAGGATTGGGTCTCCTACAGCCTCGCTAGCGGCGGCCCTTGCCCTTTCAACCCAAGTTCCTCCAAAACGTCTTTGCTAACTTTGCATACGATGCAGCAAAGGACCCTGCAGCAGCTGGTACACAGCAGCTGGGCCGAGTTGTTGGGTTGGTCTCGGTTGGTCTGCACGCCTTCTCCGGATCAGTCCACGCGCAAACGAGGCGTTTCGGCCCGTTGAAATGAGCGCTTAGCTGAGGAGACTGGCGGGGCGCGTGCGCTCCGACAGAGGCTTTAAATGCCGCGCGGGTTTGCGTCCATAATATCGAGTGTAACGCGCTCTGGCCGATCGGAGCTTTGGACTCAAGCCGGGTAGGGAGGCATGTAACGGGTCCGCTTTGGATCCCGTCTGGGAGGGCGCTAAAGTGGGTCGGATCGCCCCCCCCCCCCTTCCCTCCAGCCCAGCCTGCCTTCTTCCCGGACTCCCCTCGCCGCCTCCGCCTATTTTCCACTCTCCCGGGTTATCGTTCGAAGAACTCAGAGAACCTCATCCGATTTGGGAACACCGGCCCCATCTGTCCACCATTTGGGCCGCGATTCTGCGGCTGAAGGAACAATGACGTGGACGACCGTCCTAGTGCTGCAGGAAGTGCGGCTGCGAAGGGTGAGACTCAGTTCAGTTAGACGTCCGTCCCCCCGTTGCGTCGAATACAATTGCTTTTCGAAAGTGTAGCCGAATGACGCAGCTTTCAGATTGCATCACGAAAACACTTAGGGGCGCAGTTGATGCGCAAGTGATGCGCAACTGAATGTATAACCCCTCGGTTCCCTCCGCTTACTGTCTTCTTAAGAAGACGATGCTGATAAGACTCAGATTCTCTCATGTGTGTGTGTGTGGGCGTTTTGCCTGAATGCACCGCTGAGCTGGATAGACAGGCGTCCCGAACTCGACGCCCTCCCACACGTATACGCACCTCGGGAGCAGAGCACATAATCCAAGCCTGGGGAGCCGAGTTGCCCCCCCCCCTTTCTTCCTCACCACGCCCCTGCCACCGGCGTGGACGCAAACGAGAGCGGTGAGAGGAGAATGGTTGGGGGGCAGAAGCCACTTCCGGTCAACGGCGGGCTGGGGTAGTCCTCCTGCCCGCGGAGCCAACGGGAGTTCGCCTTTTGAGCCGCGCTAACCTGGGCGGGGGATTAAGGGGCGGGGGACCAGCGCGTAAATGCGGAAGCAGGATGGCCCCGGGACGCCCCGCTCTCCCACGAAAAGTCATCATTTGAGCCGCGCCGATCAAGCACACCATAAGGGCCGGGTCACAGGCTCTGAGGCCGGCGTGGCGGCCAACGGCAGAGTCTACGCTTCGGAGGCACCACTCCACCCCTCGCCTGATAGAGAAACGAATACAGCTGATTGGCTTTGCACCTAGCAACTAAACAACAAAAATTTGATTTAATGTGTGCAATTAGGCTTGTTATTGTAGGTTTGCTTACATTTTTGAAGAGAGACAGTCGGATGCAATGATCTTATCATTACTGATGTACTGTATTGAGTTAGGTTTGTTAGTTTAGGTTTGTTTCGTTTAAAAATACAACCAAAACCTCATATTTATTCAGATTATTATAAAGTCCCGACAAGGAAGACACAAGGTCAGCATAGGGATTGCAAAGGCGAAAGTTGAAGTTGAATTAAACTTCAGTTTAATATGAATATTAGTCTGTACTTTAGCCAGTCTGTATACAAGCCAACACCCAACTTGCGCGGCGCAAATGATTACTTTTCACCCGACTCGCCCTGGGGTGGTGGAGCGTCCGTGATAGCTCGCTTAGGGACCGGCCCCCGACAAGCGCGGCTCAAGTGATGACTTTCGGGGGTGGCCACAGGTAGGCGCGGCTCAAAAGCTATACGGCCGAGCCAACAGCCACCGCTGCGCTGCGCCTTGCCGATCCGGCAGGCGTCAAACTCAGTACGAACGCGTCTTGTTCTGCTTGTTCTGCTCGTAGCCGTTGTTTGAAAATTCGGAGAATATGGCTCCGTTGGGCGGGCCTGCGAGTGTGAGCGCGGCCCAACAAGGTCGCGGGCGCGGCACGGGGTCAAAGCCCCCCTCCCCTCCCCCCTGCACCCCGTTCCCCTCCATGTGCGGCGAGCTCCCCGTCCACTTCCCCATCCACCCCCCCCCCCTTTCCCCCGGTCTGGTTGATTGCCTTTCTTTGCATCAGCCGGGGCCATCCGCCGTGTATTCGGTGCGTGGTTCGGTGATTTGAGCGTCTTGTTTGTTGCGTCAGCCGGAGGTGACAAGTAGTAGTAGTAAGCCTGGCGGCGACGAGCAATAAGCGCGGGCGGGGCGGCCCCTCTGGGACGGGGGACGGGCCATCCTCGCGGCCCCAGGAATACGTTTCGCGTTGGGGCAGGTCGCGGGCCCCGCTAATGGCCACACCACCACCGCCGCTCCACCAAACACGGCCTAGTTGGAGGCGAAGGTGTGAAGCACGGCTTGCGGCTTCCCCCAAACTAGTGGAGAGAGAGAGAGAGAGAGAGAGAAAGAGAGGATGGCCGTAGAAAGTGTGTGGTCGGCGTCGTGGCGGGGCGGCGCGGGACACGCAACCTGCAGCGGCGGCGGGGCGGCGGCAGTGATTAGCACCGCGGCGGGCCCGCCGGACTGCCCCCATTCCGCGAGCTGTCCGTCTCACTCACTCCCGCGCGCGGACGCGCCGGTGCTTCCTCTCCCCCTCTCTCTCCCCCCTCCGCGGCCGCGACGACGGGTTCAAGTCCCGTTTAGCACCGCGGGCTTCGCAGCCGCGAGCGCATCCTAGAGAGCGCGAGGCCCTGCCCTGCTGCCCTGCCGCGGCCGCGACTTTTGCGCAAGGCGTTGCTGAAGCGGGCGGATGCTAAAAGGCCCCCTTGCACGTCCCCCTTGCGAGTATTCGAACCCACGACTCCGACCAGGGGGCTGATTAGAGTCCAAATAAGTAACGCGTGACGAAAGCCCGCGCCTCCTCTCCGACGCCACGCCCGACTCCGAGCTCCGCGGCAGTGCGGTGCGGTAGTGGTCCGCCCTTGGTCACTTTACCTGGACCCGCGACGCCGGGCCTGACCACACCGCGGCCCACGCTGACCCCGAGAGCACCCGCCGCGCCCCGCCCCGCCCCGCCTAACCGCGGAATGGCAAACCTGACGCCGTGGGCCGCGATGAGAATGACGTTCCGCTCTTCCCGCCGCCCTGTGGCAGCCGATCCGTTCTGTCTGATCGGCTGCGGTCAGCTCAGTTTGGACAGTGTGGCCGATTCTCTCTGGCGTGTTGTCTGGTGTGTGCATCGCGACTTTTGGCTGGCAACCCTTTCACCGGCTTACCGAGGCGTGGCGGGGCCGGCGACGTCTTTTCGTGGGATCTGACCACGCTAT